AAGGTGTAAAACCGAAATACAACTTCAACTCATCTTGAAAAGTTGGGAACTCAACCAATTCACTCGGTTTCTTAATATGAAAAAGAATTATTGAAACCACATACAGATGACACTCCAATATTAGATTGCTGTAATAATATCACGGTAGTTGCGAATAATTTTACATACATATAAAAATTATACAAAATTAAGTATAAGTGGAAATTTGCCTTAAAACAAGTTCCATTAATTTCCCGACATGTGTGAATAATAAACTTAATCAATATGAAATCGCTATATTAATTTAAGAGTGATCTAGAATTGCTGAAGAGCGCCATAATGAAAGAAATTTTTGTAATTTATTTTACTTTGTAAGATTTTTTTTGTTACACATTATTAAATCACACGTGGCTAATACATACACCAAAGAGTATTTTCTCACAGCACCATCAGTTAATTTAGTTTTCATAATTTAACTACTTCTCGTAGGCAGTGGCGGATTAAGCTCTCTGGCGCCCTAGGCCCTATCCGTTCAGGCGCCCTTTTTGACAGACAAAATTTTACTTTTTTAATTAAACTTTTTTTTAAAATTATTTAGATATAATTTTTAACTTTGCATAGGGTAAGTGTGTGCATATATGTATGTATGTTCAATTCCTACTGATTCTGATTAGTTTTTCGCTAAGGCTGGTCCAGCCGTCTTGAAAATACGAAGCAAAAAGTGCAAATAGAAATCAGAACCTTACGCCCTGAATCTTTTCCTTATGTCGTATTTTTGTAGAAAGTAAGCCGACTGTGATTCTTTCATATTTGATTACTTCATTTTTAGAAATTATCTACTAGGGCTGACTTATTGTTAACTTCCCGAAGTAGCACTTGTTTGAAAATTTAAAGTTTTTTTGCAAAGCAATGTTAACAAAATTTGCACTTATTATTAATCTTCTATATATATAAAAATAAGTCGGGTTTTCTTTCCTGACGAAATAACTCCAAAACGCACGAACCGATTTCGACAATTTGCATTCGTTGGAAAGGTCTCGGGCTCCGCAAGGTTTATATCCAAGAAAATTAGTTGTGCATGGCATCGTGCCTTAATGCAAGCTGCTGAAACTTCACGCACCGTAATTAAAAATTCGAGTAATGACATTATAGTGAGTATTATCAGAATTATGCTTGGTTAAGTCAACGAGCAATTCTTGCCGCAAAGAATAATTATGTACACGCACTGAACTTTACCGTTCAATCAAAAATTGCTGGCGATTTCGTGACATACCAATGATTCCGACTGGTCTTCCGTTTGACTTCAAACGATTACAATTTCCAGTTTGCCTTGCGTTCGCAATGACAACTAACAAGTCGCAAGGCGAATCGCTTAGTGTTTGCGGGATAAATTTCAAATAGATAGTTTTTCACATGGGCAGTTATACGTTGCCTGTTTACAAGTTGGAAAACCATCCGCTTTGTTTGTGTTAACGCCAGACCAAAAAACAAAAAATGTGGTTTACCAAAGAGCACTTCAATGAAACGGATAATTTGCGGATTCACTTTCATTTACTTAAAGAAGTTCAACTAAAAACACCTAATTTTGTAATCGAAATAAATACATTACTTTTGTGTAATAAAATCAAATTTTTCCTTTTCAAATATAAAACAAACAAAAAATTTCGTCATCTTTCTCACGAAACCATCTGGTGGCAAAACGGAGTTCGTCGGGTTTGCTAGTATTCTTATAAAGTATGTGGTAATTTTATGTGCGTATGTCCAATGATCATTTTGTATCACGAATTGTTGTTTTTATAACTTTTTTCTGGATCTTCATAATCGCTGAACCTGCCTCCCCAAAAATTGGTTAATTCATCATTTCATCAATGTTAGTAAAATGTTTTTTGAATCATTCAAATCGGTCGCTCCGTTCTCTCAAAAACCGAATTTCCATATTTATGCACTTTTTGTCCAGTATCTTTGAAATGGCTAAACCTGCCTTTGCCAAAAACTAATCAGCACGTCTCCCTATCAGTAAGAATCGAATGCTTTTTGAATCATGCTAATTGGTTGATCTCTCGAAACCGTGGACAAAAAATTAGTATTCGTCCTAATTACATACATAGATATTACGTACATAAAACGCACGCACACACAAACATCTATTTTTTCTGAACCTTTGAAATGTAAAGATATGCAAAAAAAATATTTTCAATTTTTTTGCGACTACTATAACTTACCCCGCGAAAAGTTAAAAATAAAAACAAAATTTGTACTATTATTAAAATTTTTGTAAAAAATCTGATAATTTGATGTACAAATGTCGATTGATTATTTTTGACTACCAAATAGCTCACTCTGCACTGTGCCATTGCAAAAATTTAGTAAATTCTTCATTTTGTTGCACAAGTTTAATGTGTTTTGAATTTTTTAATCTGATAGAAAATAGGGCTCTCTAAATAATTGAATAGTCATTTTTTATCATTTTGCCCCCTATTCCGAAATGGATAAACCTGTCATTACCAAAAACTAATCAGCACATCTTCCCGACAATTGAATCATTCAATCGATTGATTCGTCTCAAAAGCGTCGACAAAAAAATGTAACTGCAAATACACATCCATACATCCATTCTTCCTAAGGTATGCCAAAATGTTAAGAAGGTTTTGAAACGTAAATATTTATTAATAATTGCATTTACGTTTCATTTTTCGAATTACTATAACTTACCCGTGAAGGCAATTCCAATCGGTGGTCAAAAATGATCAATGAACCTAAGCACGCCAAATTGTCAGATATTTCAGTTTGGGTTCAGTTTTATCTTATAGAATTCATTTTAAAGAAAAATAAAATTATATACGAACCAAGAAATAATTAAATTATCACAAAATAACAATATATAATATATTATGTTAATTCCCGAAATAAAATAAGAGACCATTTAAAACCATTTTAAAGCGTTTTGTTTGTAAGATTCACCTTAATAAAGTTACAAAAAATTAACAGAGCTTCAATATTTCTCCAAAAAAGCTTATCAATCTGAAAATTTTCATTTCAAACATGATACATCAATAAAAATATTAATGAGACGCCCTCGAATAAGTTTGATATAGAAAACGAATAACATTATATTTCATAGAAAATTATCTAGATCAGGATCAATCCTTAAAATAAATCGTCGCGGCAATTTTTCGGATTTAAAATTTTAACATTCTGAAAAATTTGCCGCCCCTCATATCGTGCCGCCCTAGGCCCGGGCCTCACGGGCCTATGGGGTAATCCAGCACTGCTCGTAGGACTATAATATTTTAGTATCTTCATTAATACCAGGTACTTAAACGCCTTACAAAGATTCATTAAAATCCTCAAAGAAAATTTTAACAATCAATTAGAAAAAATAGCTGTTTGAAGTAAAAAGCGTTATTTGTATCTTTTAATTTCAAATGATAAAAAATTAATATTAAAAAAATAGGTCTCAAAATTGAAATAGTATTTAGAAGTAAAGAAATTGTATGTATTTGGTTAATTCGGCATTGAAAAAATTAACATAGAAAAATTGACTCCGAAATCAAAAAATGTATTAGGGTTGGACAACAATACATTGTTTAGGTATTGTGAGGATTAAATTCTGTTATAATACTAATATTAAAATTTGATTTTAGAATAAAGGTCACAATCAATATGTAGTAAAAAATACTAATGAGAATAAAATACTGTGAAAATATTTGTATCACGATTTAGTTTCAAAATAAAATATTGTAGGTTTTCAATATATTTATTATGTTTAATAGAATATTACAAACTTTTTTAAAAAATGATTAAATTACATGAACAAAAATTGAAGTTTTAATGAAAGTTCAAATCATAATTATTATACAAATACATCGTTCTCAAAATAGTTAATGCGACTCTGAAATTATGTGAAAATATTTGTATAGAAATTTCGTTCCAAAATAAAATTTTCTGATAATATAATAATATAGTATGTCAAATAGTAATTGCCAAAAAATATTAAATTTAAAAGTTTTAACTTCAATTTTTTGCAGTAGGTATATTATTTTCATGGACTCAGGGCAATAAGAAATAACGTCATGAAAAATGATGTAAACAAAATAACTGCAAAGTTATTTTAAAAAATATATGGAGTATAATTATATATCTTTTACATTTGCGGTACCCAAAATCTTTCTCGATTGATATTTTTAAAATAAAATTTCCAGATAATGAAATATTTAAATCTAATAATGTAATAATATAATATTAAAATATGTCGAATAGTAATTGCCATAAAATATTTGACTTCATTTATTAACTTTAATTTTTTTGCAGTAGGTATTTCATATTATAAGAATGAAAATTAAAGTCATGGAAAATGATGTAAACAAAATAACTGCAAAATTATATTTAAAAATTATATTACTATCCTTTGCATTTGTGGTACCCAATATCTTTCTAGATTGATATTATATATACACAAATAATTTCTTTCTTTCACAATAATAATAATTACTCCCTTATATACCTAGATGAAAAATTGGAGAAAAAAATGTTCAAGAAGTTAGTTTTCTGAATAAACTTGCGAAATTTGTGAAGAAGTAAACTTAATTGATAGAAATTGAGATGTACTATTTAGATGGTCACCCTAACAAATATTTAAAAGATTTGAGCGAGGAATACGCCATACGTAGATTGAAAAAAATGGCGATACGATCTCAAATAAAACGTCAAAAATAAAAAAAATAAGTTAGATATCTCATAGGAGATAATCTCTTAATGCATTAACATCAACATCATATTGTCTTAAAAAATGTATTTTATTTTGATTGACAATAAAACTATGCAAAAAAAAACTATTTAGATAAAAATTTCTTCTGATTATTTCCAAACTTTTCACTTTTGGTAAAAATTATTGGATGCAATTGTTAACAACAACTTATATCATCTGCGATTTTATTAATTATAGTGCACAGTCTCATGCTTATGTGTCCTAAAAGTGCAATTTTTGAGCAATTTATATAATTCAATCATAAAAAACAAAGTCTTCTTAATATATATTTTTTGTATTTCATAAAATGAAACATCTGATCTAATATTTAAAATCAAGTAATAAAAATGACAGTTACAAAGACATTAAATCATAATTTTCTCTATATCCTAGTTAAAAGCTGCTCCACAGTTGACGCAGGATCTCTCCTTCATTCCCAGGCAGCACAGAAGTCCCAGAGGAAAGCAGCATGCTCCTAGGCAGACCGCGCAGCAGGAGTAATTGTCAGTGACGAAGCCGACACCACAATTTGGACAACTGTTTGCAGGTGAGAATGGAACTTGCAGGAGTGCTTTTGATTGCTGAAAGGATAGTATTTGATTTTAATTTTGTAACAAATTTTGCGGCTTGTATGACTTAACCGAATCAATCGACTTCAATCGACTCATATGACTCGGGAACCAATTTTTCATTAATAGACCGTAACATATCGTTGTTATGGCAACACTAATTTACGCTCTTTATTCATATTAAGTGGTAGTAAAAGCTGACTAAATGCTATGTATTTGCTGTGCAATCCAGTGTTTTACACATAAATTCTAACTTTACGTAAGCAAATACATATCATTTTGACAGTTTTTTTTATCATTTGATATGACAAATGTGACAACATTGGCTCTATTTTACCCAAAATTGCCCTTCATTCCTTCATTCGACTTCTGAACCGAACTGGAAGGGCGCCAGTGTTTTGGGTTTGTTTGTTAGATGGCGAGCTGAGAGCCAATTCGTTCGTGAACTATTAATTTTTAACTTTCCGACGGAGAACTTTATGTTTTCATTAAAAAATCCGATTCGCTAATTTTGTTTTCTCGACGTTTCAAGCCATTCTGAATCGAATGAAACCAAATTTGGAAAAAGTATGTGTGTGTGCGTGTACTTGAACAGATTTTTTGCCGTAAATTGACGTTTCTCAAAAACGGCTGGACCGATTTCAAAAATTTATTGGATGTATCTCGATGAGGACTATTGTTTGTTAGTTTTGTGCGACGATCGGCCGAGCCGTTTTTTTGTAATTTGGAGAAAGGTTAAACTTTTCGTCCACATTTAAGCTCATACTACCGAATCGATTTAAAAAAAAAACAAAAACTATTCGAAAGATATTAGTTGGGAATGATACTGATTTGTTTCAGATGAAAGTCTACCTAGCCGTTTCCTTGTAATTAACTGTTAAAAAATTAAGGCGATTTTTATGAAACTTTTTTTGCGATATATTACGGCCTTACGTCAAGTAGTTTAATTTTAAAAATTCATCAAAATTTAAGAAAAGAAGTAGTTTTTGAAGTAAAACTTCTTTAGGCGCGACTAGGGTGTAAATCGGTACAAATGCAACGGAAGTCCGTTACGCTCGAATTGTTCGTTATTCGCTCTCGATGAAATCATTTCTATACGGGTAGATTGTGATTAGTCGTCGTGTATGTGAATAAAAATCTATCGTTGTATGCGTACCGGCGTCAACGTTGTATGCGTACCGATATCAACAAGGTAATCGGCAAAGATAAATAAACATTTTAAAGTTACATCGTAGTACAAATCTTGACTTAATGAGAAATGCCTGAATTAGAAGAATATTTTACCCTGTTCCTTGAAAATAATAAAACAAATTAAGTATTTGTGCTGTGTACTAAACTTAAGCATATTCATTAGAAATAATTTCTATATTTTTCGTAGCTTCTATAAATCGTTGAAGCTATTAAAATGGAAAATATTTTTTAGGCAAGACAGATATTACAACTGTTCAAAGAATGCGATTATATCGCCAACGAAAAAGTAAAAAAAAATACAAGCAGTCAATGAATGTATGTTAATTTTAATTACATGAAGTTCTTCAAACACAATTATTACATGATGAGTGAAATTGTGAAAACAATATTCATTCAGGCGTTGGTTAACATAATCCACTGTGTAATGTAAACGAATATTATAGAATTTATTAATCAGCAATTTCTTAATTTCTCTAATTAAGGTTCAAGTCTTAAATGCTAATTACAATGACAAGCCGATCATGCCATATTTGAAGTATGACTTTAATTACATTATTGTTTTTAAATATTATACGTACTTTTAATGCTATTATAAATATATAATTTATAATTTATCATTATATAAATGTGTAGAATGATTGACGACACTAATAAATGTGTGCATCACGAGTGTTACCTCATCACTAATAAACATTATTCAAAATTGTTATATGATGTATTTATTTTGACTTAAATGCCATCTTGTACAGTAGCAAATAAGTTTTACTTCAATCGCGTGTAAACCTTACGTGCACTTTTTTTCAATTTTTCTAGCTGAATTTTAATCTTAATTCTAGCTAAAGTTCTAAAGCTCACCTAAATACTTCAAATAAATAATTTTAACTTTGCAATTCAGTTTATATAATGTCCTTCATTTTAAATTCGATTGATTTAATTTTGTTTATTTGCTTTTCTGTAAACATATATAAGTTACAGTATTTGCAGTATTTATAATAATCTATTTGAAAACATTTAATATTTCCCGAATATTCCATTACGGTAACAGCAATTTGCCCTAAGGCACGATGCCGTACACCACTAGTTAATATAATTTGTTTGCTGATCACGAATTCAAATCAAAATCGACTGCAAATATGGAGAAACATAAAAAACGCCAAAATCTCAAATCTAAAAATCACTCTATGTAATAATTTTTGTCTTTTCTTGGTTCTTTTCTCATGAAATGACATTAATATTTATATTAAAGTTAAAATATTGTTATACTAGTACCGATTCTTAACCTGCATATTTACATAATATATGATGTTTGTATAATATAAATAAGTCAAAATCAACAGTTTAATCTAATCACCGACTGGATTTTCCACTCTGGTTTTCCTGATAATCACGATATTTGCAAAAAAAGCGCAGTTTAATCATTTGCTATGAATAATGTCAATATTGACGGCATTGCTTCAAAGTATTATCTTCTATAAATATAACATTCAATTATAAGCACAAATATTTTTTTTCTAATTAATGTGGAACATCGTTCCTTAAGGCAAATTTTTGAAACTTACCGTATCAAAATTATCTTTTTTGATAAAGCATTAAACTTTTTTTGAAAAGTGAAAAAACTTATATACTTGAGAATTTTGTTTTTTTTTTCAAATTGACTTTTTTGTGTAAACATTGGTATGGAACTCAAAATATAAACAAAAGTTATGTTGTTACTACCCTTATACACTACATACTTCTATATTAGAGTAGATATTTTCTAATTTTTTTGCTTCCAAGGACTCAAATGCTTCCAAATTGATAACTGGAAATTCTCTGAAAATTTTAGATCTTTATATTAACTGTAGGCACTTCAGACAGTTTCTTATGAAAATAACATGGATAAAATTTCATTTAATTTTTTAAATTTTATAACTTTGCGACAAGTGAATCAAAATTTGGAGAATAACATTGCATTTGCTTTTTTTCATAAATAAAACATTTACAACAAATATTAGAAATAAGAACAAAAAAACGTTGGTTGGAGTGCGAACTATCTTAAAGTTAATATGAAAATCTAAAACTTTCAGAGAATTTTTTTAATCAATTTGGAAGCGTTTGAGCTCCTGGGAGCAACAATAATATATATATATATATATATATATATATATTATTTTTATAAAATAATTACCATTGCACTCGCTCTGAGTGGTCCTGGTTGTTGAGTTTGAGGTCTTCCACCAAATTGTGATTGCTGGTGAAGTGGTTGTGCTGCAATGTGTAATATATATTAATAACATGGTAAATCAATAAACAACTTATAAAAACGTAGTTACCAAAAAAACACAGTAATTTAATAAACAAATTATGTTAACTAATTGTAAAATTCTTGCAGCAATTATTGAGAACACTTCATAATCTCGGAGCGTTACACTAATAACCATGAACTAAATAATTTTTTAACGCATGTTTTGACTAAAGTCCTCGTCCTGATATTTTTTTTTAACTTCCCGTAGAGTAAGTTATTGTAATCGTCCATAAATCAGAATTGAAAATTTTTACATTTCTTCACGTTTTGAAGGTTTCTGAACATTTTGGCATACCTCAGAATAAAATGATTTGTGTGTGTGTATGTATGTATGGTTACAATTTTTCGTCCACGTTTTCATTTGAATTTGATTTGAATGGTTTAAAAAACATTCAATTCGTAATGACGGGGAGAAGTGGTGATTAGTTTTTCACAAAGGCAGGTCCAGCCGTTTTGGAGATACAGAGCTAAATGCGCTAAAAATTGCAGTTTTTGAGTGAGCTAAGCATGCAATTTGTATGATTTAAAAATAATCAGCTTATTTTGACAAACAATTACTTTTGGGAAAAAAAATTATTTAAATTTTTTTTCAAATATTTTTTTTTGTATATCGAAAATAATTGAGAATTTAATTTTAGTTCTGGCTAATGTTCAACTTTTTAATTCAGTTTATATAATTCTTATAAATGTTACAGTACTTATAATAATTTTTGAATATTTTGTTACGGTGCGGAAAGTTCCAGTAATTTGCCTTTAAACACGATGCCATACACAACTAGTTTTATTTTGGCTCGATTTACATTTGTTTTAAGTATATATACGTCTTCCAATTCAATAATAACTTTTTAATTTACAGTATTTATAATAATCTATTAAAAAATATTGAGAAATATCGTTAATATATTCATTACATTTTTTGTTCATTAAGTACATATAATTTTTATTTCTTAGATATTTAGTTATGGTACGGAAAGTTCCAGCAATTTGCCTTAAGGCACAATGCCATGCACCACTCTTTATGTTTTGAGTACTGTCAGTATAAATGTTTTCAGCAAGTAATAATTTAAATGAAAACATATTTATGAAATATAAACCATCAAGATACATGGTGGAACTAATATAAGAACTCTTGAGAAGATTAAATTAATAATAGATATAATAGATATAATTTAAAATCTTATTTTTGCAAATTCAGTAAAATTTGTGTAAACCTTTAAAATAATTTACCTTTATTGTAATCCATCTTCTCCTTATTATTTAACTGATATATATTAATATTTTCTTCACAATTGAACAGATGTTACTATAATATTTCACTGAGTCTCCTGTTATAAACTAAACGAAAATACTGTATGTTTCAATGCATGTTAGTGCAAAATGGGAGTCTTCATTGTTATCAATTCTTATCTATATTTTTAATGTAGGCTATGAATATATATTTCTATCGAAATGTGGTCATGAGGGTACACCGTTGACTTTCGCAGAAACATTTTTGCGATTACATAACTAATTCAGCAATGGAAAACCTTGTTTTGAATTGCTGAATTCGGCTATAAAAATCATACTGTTTGATATCAGTTTGCACGCGCGAAACTCTATCAGAATATGCACTGCAGATCCATAGATTAAAGTGAAAATAAGTGGTATACCACTATTGATTAAATAATTATTAACTTCTGGAAGAAAAGATTTTTTTAGGTTTTCTCGGCGTTTCAAGTCATTCTGAATCGAATATCTGAACTTCTGAAATCGAACTTCTGAATTCTGAATGTATGTGGTGTGTATATGTGAGCTCATTTTTAACCTTTCGTCGACATTTTCTCAAAAACGGCTGAACCGATTTAAAAAATTTGAAAGCCATTCAATGTAACTCTATGACCTAAATAGGCCAATTCGTTTCTATGTAATTGGCAGAAAAGTATAAATATGTTTTAGCCCATAATCTTAAATCAATTTTAAAAATTCAAAAACTGATCCAAAAATGTTGGTTGGAAATCGGTTTAATTAGTTTTTGGTAAAGATCAGCCAGACCATTTCTTCGTAATTAAATACTGAAAAATATTTGTTTGACAACATTGATGTAACTTTATATACGGATAGATTTAGTAGTCTGAAATAACTAAAATATTATAATATGCGGTTAAATTATAAAAAATTGTCAAAATTTAGAATTATGCAGTGTCCAAGCGATTTTACTTAGAATCTATGCCGAACATTATATACATTTTGTGTTTCGTAGGTAGCTACTGATTACAGTCGACATTTCTGTGCCATGATAATAGAGTTTCTGTGCCATAATAATAGAGGTTTCGTATAGTAGTTTGAAATCTTTTTAGCCTTCAAACTCATTAATGAAAGTGTTCATAAAATCCTAACACGATAGAATTTGTAGATTTTAATAGAACTTTACAAACCTAAATAACGTGAGAAGTATTTCTTTCTTCTAATATAGAAGGTACTTAAATTTTCTAAATAGATCTTAATTGTCAAAATAATTATTCATATTAAAAAAAATCTATTTTTCTATTTGACTGTTTTAACTTCCCGTAGGGCAATAAGTTATAGTAATCGCAAAAAAATCGAAAATGAAAATTTTATATATCTTGACGTTTCAAAGATTTCTGAGCATTTTGGCATATCTTAGTAGAATAATAGAAATGGATGTATGTGTATGCATGTGTGTGTGTGCGGATACAAATTTTTGTCGACGATTTCAGGAACACGGATCAACCGATTTGAATAATTTAGAAAACATTCGATTAGTATTAATAAGGAGACGTGCTATAGTTTTAAGCGAAGGCAGAATTAGTTTTGGCAAAGGCAGGTTTAACCGTTCCGAAGATACGGGGCAAAAAGTGCCAAACGGTAAGTCAGTTTTTAAGAGAACGGAGCGTCCAATTTTAATAATTTAAAAAATATTCTACTTGAATTTACACGATGAAGAACTAATTAAATTTTTGGGAAGGCAGGTCCAGCGGTTATAGATTCTCAATAAAAATAAGTTAAAAAAATGTTATTTGGCGGTCAAAAATGTTTATTGGACTTATGCGCATCAAATTATCAGATATTTTATAGAGATTTTATTTTGTGTAATTTTTTTTGGGTTCTGTTCCAAGATTTTTAATTACGGTACGGGAAGTCCCAGCAATTTGCCTTAAGGTACGATGCCATGCACCCCACTAGTTTAATCTTTTTTATAAGAAAATGAATTTTTGGCTTTTTACTGCTATATCTAAATATTGGATTTAGGTTGGTAACCTATTTCGTTAAGTTAGTTTTCTTTTTCGAAAAGTAAAAAATCCTTAGTTAATAGGTAATAACAAGTAATAATATAATAGCCAGATTTAAAGTTTTTTTTTCATAAATTTCAAAATAGGGTGAAATTACCGCTAAACCTTTTTAAGAATACTGAATATTTAAAAAAATGATTCAGTAATGATATAACTGCATGTGTATACACTCCAAAAAAGTGATTTTCCTAAATTTGAATTTTATGAAGAATTGATAACTATATCTGATGATAATAAAATAATTTAAACGCTTATTTATTTCTTGAGAAAAATTCAAGATCTGATTTTATAAGGAGAATTAAGTGTTGATAACAATTTCGGAGAAAACACATAAGTATTTGTATAACCATATAACAATATTAAATAATTAGTATTGCACAACTGATTAAATTCACTTTTAAACAATCCAATCTAATTTTATTTAATTGATAATGTATTTCTGATTGAAAGCTTTTCAAAAACGGTTGGACCGATTTCAAAAATTTAAAAGCCATTCGTTGTATCTCGACGAGGACTAGCGTTTATTAGTTTTGTGCAACGATCGGCAAAGCCGTTTCATTATAAATCGAAGAAAAGTAAAAAAATTATCTTCCACGTTTTAGCCCGCAATTCTGAATCAATTTTGAAAATTCAAAAACCGTTCGAAAAATATTGTTTGGGAATCGACCTAATTAGTTTTTGGCAGAGATCGGCGGGGCCATTTTTTTGTATTAAAGTGTTAAAATTTTATGATTTTTTTTTCTACGGGAGAAACCATAGTTTATAGATCATACTAAAATATTACGGCCTACGACAAGTCGTTTAATGTTAAAAATTCGTCCAAAAATTTGTTTGAAAAGATTAGTATCATTTTTTGGCATTTGTCAAAATTAGAACTTTCATCGCCGTTTGCTTAAAAACGCCTGAACCGACTTTAAAATTTTAAAAGCCAATCAATAATGTATCTCGATGTGCATTATTTTTTCTCAGTTTGCGATGATTGGCTGAGCCGCTTCTTTGATAAATAACAAAAAAGCGAAAAAAAATTCGTCCACGTTCTAGCTCTCAATTCTGAATGGATTTTAGAAAATCAAAAACTGTTCGAAAGATATTGGTTGGGAATGATACTGATTAGTTTTATGTGAAAATATACAAGGCCGTTTTCTTGAAATTATCTGTTGAAAAATTTATTTTTGCCAATTTTTATGCACCTTTTTTGGCAATAGAAATTATAGTCTTATATGACATACTAAAATGTTACGGCCCTACTACAAATAGTTTAATGTTAAAAATTCATCAAAGTTTGAGAACATATTATAGTCAAAATTTGTGTGAAGAGTCAAACGTTATCAATTCATTAAAATTTAAAATAATAAACTACAATTTTAGGACTTACAAGCACGTGTCTGTGCAATATAATTAATTTAACTACAGTTAATTTAAATGTGTTTGAGAAAATTCTATTTGAAATCGCAATGTTCAGATTTAATTGAAAGCGATAACTTTATTTTGAAATAAACAGTTGAAAATTTTATCTAAATTTTAATTTTGATTTATTAAGTTAATTCTTACACATTTCGGGAAGTTCATGCAACTTGCCTTAAGGGTAAATGCCGTTTTCAACTAGTTTAGTTTTCTCTAAATATGTATAAACGTCGTCGCCCAATTCATTCTATTATATAATTATAATTCTATAGTCTATAAAATAAGAATTTATAATAATTTATTTGAAAACATTTAATATTTCTCGTATATTTTATTATGATACGGGAAGTTCCATCAATTGTCTTAAGGCACCATGCCATACACCACTAGTTTCTTAACTACGTAGCTTTTTTTTAGAAAGCAACCCGACTGTTGACCTATCTCTTTCTGATACAAAGAAATATTTCTATTTTTTTCTTAAATATACTTGTTCAAAATGAATACGCAAAGACTTTAAAATTGTATTTAATTAAGAAGCTGTAACAAACACAACACATTCACATGAAAAAAAAAATTACATGAACAAATTTTGTTCACGATAAAATGATAATGATTACTTCACAATTAATAAATACAAATTTATCGAATACTCAATGATTAATCTGGAACAATCACAATCTAATTTTATCTGTTCGATAACGTGTTTCTAATTTGACACGAGCGATGAGAACTGACATATTTCATATTGAGAAT